CCTGACGAGAATTTATCGAAAACAAATGTATGTTCGCCAATTTATCTTCTGAGATTTTAGACCATTAGCTCTGGCCAAACAAGGACAACGAGTTTGAGGTTGGCTAAACAAGATAAGTAACACGGTAAAAACAAAACGATCTGGTCATAATCTCGCCTGAAGAGTTATTTGACCAAAGAGACACCGTATACACTCAGCCGCTATTCATGAGCCTTACATATAATGGTATCCTCACGTGACCACTTCTGCTATCTCATCAACGGTTGCACCTCTAAATCAGGAACAAGGCCAGTCAGTATGGACAGCTGGCTAATGTTCTAATGGGTAATCCTCCTTTCGCTTCATTTAATTATAAACTATCTGGAGGCAAGAGAAAACGGTTGTACACGGAACTTATTACCTCCTTATTAAAGATGGTCTTTTCTCAATTTCAGAGAAGCTGCGTGTGCCCTTGCCCTACCAGGAATGCATACTGTTGCATGTATTCGGTCTAGGAGGTCACATAAGTTATTAGATACGTACAACAGCAATTGCTGATATTCAAAAGAAATAGATCGGCCTTGAAAAATTAAAAATCATTTTCTGTGGTTAATTTATATATATTTAACAAGAGTGAGTGTTTTTTTTTAAATATACATCTGAAAAATGTTCTGCATTAACTGTAACTTAACATATCCGATAATCCGCTTGTATGCATCTAATATTTTTTTTTATTGGCGGGACTTTGGCAAAGGGAATAGAGTAGTCACGTCAACATCAAATCCTTTCTTAATTTCTTTTCCTCCTAATAATCTTTTGTTAATTTTTAGATAGGATGTTGCAAACTCCGTAGCTAGCGCAAAAGTAGCATTATTACTTGCGATTGTTATGACAATGTTCTTGCTCGTGCTGTCACAATCCCAAAAAATACTCTTTTATCCCTATGAACTTGACTTCCCGGAAGCATAAATCAAGCAGATTGTCTCACAACCAACCAGGTGATGCTGTTCGTTACAGAGAAAGCCACCAACTCGATTATTGAGGGGACTGTAGTGCCGTTCACCACCGGCGTCAAGCCCGCAAGCCGTCGCGTGATTGCACTTCTCTATCTGCCTCTGGTACGGCCAAGCACCAGTGCCATAGACCGCTATTGGCGAAGAAGTTGATCAAGCGGCCAGTGACTCACTCTAGCATGACGTTAAGGCCTTCATACGCACACCACGCCAACAGACAGACGCGCGGTTGGAGGCTTCAGACTACCACTGAGTTTCTGTATACATTAAACAACTCCTACTGTTCTTACCCCTTCTCTTCCCATAGGGAACTGGACGTGATAATTGCCGTACTCTGAGCACATCCACTGACTAGCTCCTTTCAGGACCACCTGACGTCGGAACTAATTGTGGAAATAAGAAGCTGCTAAGCAGCACAAAACGGCTACTCACTTTTGCATCATTTGTACTGGCATTCTTGCCAATGAGACCAATGTCCTTGGAGAGCCGGGGTATCCAACCGTAGTAGATGTAGTTCTCCAAGTCTGATATCCCTATGCTGTACCAGATGCACGCCAGCCAGTGCCCCAACAGGACAAAACCAAAAATCATTAGAAAAAGGC